AGGAAAAGCTGGAAGCTAGGAGATGTTGCATCATGGACTTTCAGGAAAGAAGCCATCTATGTAACAGAAATGCAGGGTGGGGCAGGAAGTGCTGATGGAGAAGCTGCAGCAAGTGAGTTGTCCAGAGACCGTTGCTGAGACCATTGATTCCAATGGCTTCACTGAACAATAGAATTTAATGTAGATGAAACAACCTGATTTTGAAAGAAGATGCTGTTTAGAACTTTCATAGCTAGAGAGGAAAAGGTAATGTCTGGCTTCAAAGCTTCAAAAGACAGATCTCTCTCTTGTTAGGGACTGATGCAACTGGTGATATTAAAGTGAATCTAATGCTCCTTTACCATTCTGAAAATTCTAAAGCCCTCAGGAATTATGCTAAATCTGCTCTGTTTATACTCTGTAAATGGAACAACAAATCCTGGGTGACAGTGCATCTATTTACAGCATTCAGTTTACTGAATATTTTAAGCCTACAATTGAGACCTACTGCTCAGAAAAAAAGATTCCTTTCAAAATATTACTGCTCATTGAATTTTGAAAGCTGTTTTACCCTAGGTAAAATGCTGTTGAACAACATTGCATACTATGGAGAAATCTTTAATGAAAAAAGGGGTCAATGTGGCAAACTTCATTGTTGTCTTATTTTAAGAAATTTCCACAACAACCCCTACCTTCAGCAGCTACCACCCTGATCAGAGCTCTAATGGAGGTGTACAGGAGATGAATGTTTGTTTTCATTCTGCAACCCATTGATCAAAGAGTAATTTTGACTTTCAAGTTGTATTATTTAAGAAGTAAGGTGATAGCTACCATAGAGAATGATCATGCTGATGGATCTTGGCAAGGTAAACTAAAAACCTTCTGGAAAGGATTCACTACCTAGATGCCATTGAGAACATTTGTGATTCATGGGAGAAGGTGAAAATATCAACATTAACAGGAGTTTGGAAGAAATTGATTCTAACCCTCATGGATGACTTTGAGGGGTTCAAGATGTTAGAGAAGTGACTCCAGATGTGACAGAAACAGCAAGAGAATTAGAAATGGATCTTGAAGATGGGACTGAATTGCTGCAACTCATGATCAGACTTGATTGGATGAGGGCTTGCTGCTTAGGAATGAGCTAAGAAAGTGGTTTCTTGAGATGGAAACTACTCCTGGTGAGTATTCGGGAACACTGTTGACTGAGAACAGCAGATTTAGACCCGTACATGAACTTAGTTGTTAAAGCAGTGACAAGGTTTGAGAAGACTGACTTCAAGTTTGAAAGTTGTTTTACTATAGGTAAAATGCTATTGAACAGTATTGCATACTATGGAGGAATCTTTAATGCAAAAGGGAGTCAATGTGGCAGACTTCGTTGTTGTCTTATTTTAAGAAATTGCCACAACTACCCCTACCTTCAGAACCACCACCCTGATCAGTCAAGCAGCCATCGACATTGAGCAAAAAGATTTTGATTCACTGAGGGCTCAGGTGATCAGTACATTTTTAGCAATAAAATATTTTTAATTCATATATATACATTATTTTTAAAAACATAATGCTATTGCACATTTAAGAGATTATATATAGTGTGAATGTAACTTTTATATGCACTAGGAAGCAAAAATCATTGTGTGACTTGCTTTATTATGGCATTTGCTTTAACTGTGGTTGTCTGGAGCTAAACCTATAATATCTCCAAGGTATGCCTGTGTACAGAAAGAGATTTATTTTGAGGAAATAGTTCACTCGATTATGGAACCTGGGAAGTTGCCATATCTGCAGTCAGTACTCCGGAGACCCAGAAGAATCAGTCGATGCAGTCCAGTCTGAGACCGAAGGCCTGAGACCCAGGAGAGTCAGTCGATGCAGTCCAGTCTGAGACCAAAGGCCTGAGAGCCTGGAGAGTCAGTCGATGCGGTCCAGTCTGAGACCGAAGGCCTGAGAGCCGGGAGAGTTAGTCGATGTGGTCCAGTCTGAGACCCAGGAGAGCTGGGACCAAAGCCGTCAGGCTGGAGACATGAGCAGAACTAATGTTTTAGTTCAAGTCCAAAGGCAGGAGAAGACCACCATCCCAGCTGCAGCAGCCAGGCAGGAGAAGATTCCTCTTCCTCAGGGGAGTGTTGGCCTTTGTGTTCTAGTTGGACTTCACTGAGTGGGAGAGACAGACCCACGCACATGGGGAGAGTTATCTGCTTAGTCTCCCAGTCCAAATGCCAACTCATCCAAAATATCCTCATTAGACATGTCCAGAAGTAATGTTTGACCAAATGTCTGGGTGCCTGTGACCCAGTGAAGTTGACAGAGAGGTAACCATTACATTGCTTCCTCCAGTGGGCAGGGAGTTGGACACCAGCGGGGAGCTTGGAGTTATTGGGGCGGGGGCATTCCTCTCAGAGAAAAAGAAAACAGTGGAGGTGAGTGGCCCTGCAGCTGAGCTCATTAGTCCTGTGGAAAATCTATTTCCTAAAATGTCTTTTCTCCAGGCTTAGCCTCCAAAGGCCTGGCCAAGCTGGTGTTTGGGTGGGTCACCTTTGGGAGGCCATATGTCACTCCCTTTCCCTGTTTCTGAGGAGGATGTATTTCACCGCCCGATCTGCTGGCCCCGGGCAGAACAGAAAGGTGATTTTCTGCCTCTCTCCTGGTGCTGGGACATGCCTCTTCTGCTGCCCTTGGATGGCACAGTCTTCCAGGCCCCCTGGCCTGTTGACTCCAGGACTCACACTGTCCTCTCCCCCTGCTCCCCACAAGGCCCAGTATAGACTCAGTCAGAGATGCCAGTGGGGTTCCATGCTATAACTTCTGGAGATTGTTTCTTGATAATTCCATCTGTGATAATAGAAAGTATGTCCCAAGTGCCCATGAAAACCAGTGGCCATGGAGAGCTTCTGCCAGTCAGACCTGGCCCCTGCTCGGCCTCCAGGGAAGCAGTTTGGCATCTGAGGTGAGCGTCCATCCCAGGAAGTTTAGACTCATGTGCGTGGTCCTGAGAGAAGGCACGTGGGAGGGAATAAGAATTCAAGGTTTGCTATTGAAACAACCCCTTGAAAAAGAGCAAAATTGTCCAAGAGGAAGTGAAGGAGACAATTCCATCTTTCACTTTCGTTTGGCTCAGATGCTTCTCCCTAAGACACACTGTGGGTGAGAAAGCAGTTTGCTTCCCTGCCCCCTCCCATCAGCTACACACTCTCGATGTGCAAAGAAATAATCCCACAGAGAGAGAGAGAAACAGAACTGGCTGCATCCTAAGCTGCAGACCGTGTGCTGGCCTCCCGCTGCAATCTCTCTGCAGTGAGGGCAGGGATGGGAGCCCCGCAGGACAGAGCAGAGCCGCAGCTCGGCTAAGTCTGCCTCTAGGAAGGGGTCCCTGGAGAGTGAGCTGGTTTTAGAAAGCCCTATAGTTATTTAATTTCTCTAACAGTGAGTATATTTAGAACAGAATTTTGACATAATGAAGTTCTGAAGTTTTTTTTGCCATCAGAATAAGCAACCCTACATTTCATTCTTTACTCTCTGCCCCTCTCAGCCAGGATAATGTTCTTTTTTTTTTTTTTATTAAGTCAAATACACATAGATCATGAATACATTCATGCATATGTGGGGTACAATGTGCTGATTTTTTAAATACAATCTAAGGTGGTTACATTAAGCCAATCAACATAGCTTTCACCTCATTTACTCAATTATTGTGCCAAAACATCTATGTTCTACATTTCACAGATTTGACTTGTACCCTTGTCATGTTCCATAGGTGTGATCCCTAAGGATAGCTGCCTTGCTGCTGGCCATTCTTTCAGTCTCAGCCACCACTTTGGTATTTAGATAAACTAGTCTCATTCTTCATCCTTCTCATCCTGAGAAGTTAGAAGATAACAATTTATCACCTTATAGTGTCTTAAAGTTCTGTGAGGTGCTATCCTAACCCATCAACCCATCAGAGATCGCAGCGGGAGGCCACCACGCAGTCCGCATGGCAGCTTAGGATGCAAAGATTTTCAGACATTTGTGTGTGGTTATTTCTGTGGACAGGCAGATCGTGTGGCAGTGGTGGACTTTGCTTTGATTGTACCCATCTCACAGTTGAGAAAAATGAGGCTGGCGTGGTGCTCACATATTCACCTGAGGTCACAATTAAATGGGT